GCGTGTGCACTTACCCCCAAAATACCATTACACCTTTCCAAGCCATTGGTGCCTACGTCCATGAATCTTTCACATCTGCTTTCTCTCTTCTGTCTTTCCTCCTCCGAATTACCCCTGGGCTCGACAGCTATTTACAGCTAATTTACCTATCTAATCAACATCTTCCCCTTCTGGTCAATTAGCAGACTTAAAACAGAGATTAATGATCCACTCTGTTGTGGAACGGGAGTCTGCATGTCAAAGTGAGGAGTGTAGGTCTAACAATTTATGACCTCAGTTCAATTCCAGTTTTTATTAATTAGCTCCACTTTTGCTGAGATCATGACCTCCCTTTGACATTTATTTATTTTTTTCTTTGGTGTACAAGACATTTCAACTGGACTGAAGTGCTAACAGTGTAAAATCTGTGTTTCCCAAAAAGTTGCTGAAGAGAAACCTAGAAATGTTTTTTTCCCCCATGCTTGTTTCCCTTTATTTTCAAACACTTTTCTCTCAAAATCAAATTCTTCAAGGATTTTGGACTCCCAATTTCTGACTGTATTCATAATTTATAAATGTGTAAAAAAAAACATCAAGGCATTTGAAATAGGAGCTTGAAAGATGAGCTCTTTGTGAGTGGGAGAGACTAGCGGAAGCAGTTTTCCAAAATACAATTGCCACTCAGCAGAGAAAGGTTATTCATTTATTGTATTGATATCATGCCATAATCAAATAATAATTCTGAGTGGTAAAAAATAGCACCAGGCTGCTCCCTTTAGAACATGAAGTTGTGCCTTGCAGCTATGGGAGAAAATTCCTCTTGCTTTTCCCCATGTTTCTTAAAATCAGATCCAATTGTTTTATGGTCCTTGCTTCCTCTATTTGAAATGAAATTTTCTGTGTGCACATCTGCAAGAAAATTGTGTGCATTTGATGTGGGATCTCTTAAAAGAATGAACAGTCCACACGTCTTAAAGTTGCCAAGGTTGAGGAACACTGCCCTGCATTCTTCCCAACATGTGGTGTCCTTCAGATCAATTGGTATTACGACTCCCAGAATTTCCAGATTTTTTTTGCAAACTGGCTGACAGCATATCTAGGATTCCAGGTTGGGAAGGCTGCTTGAATAAAATAGGTAGCAAGCAAAGGTTTTCTTGGCATGCCCCCCAAAAATGATGACAGACCTTAAGAGGATTTCTCTCTGGGATGACCTACCCATAAGCAGAACCAGAAGGAAAGAAAACGTGAACGATCATTAGCATGGAAGTTGAATCACCTGGGGAAATTGTTCCTTTCCAGGCTGTGCAAGCAGATGAACTCAGCAACCGCACATCTGATTCGATGTTTGCAGCACATCCACAAGGTCAGCTGTTTTTTTGTTCCTCTCCAAATCCCGCCTGTTTTCCTGTTACATCTCTTAGCTGCCCACCTCAGAACTTTTCTTCCCCCTCCGTGCCTCCATCTGTTGTTCGAGAGAGGCCGTCCCACCGGTCAGGTTCAGCCCAAGAAAGTCAGCGGGACAATTCGGGAGCAGTTCAGTTACTTTATTAGCTTACACCTACTAGACAGCATCTTGCCAGACTAACTCTAACCCCCAAGGACAGCAACTAAACACTCTGAATTCCTTAGGATGGTGCCAGTCTCCTCCTCTTTGCTTTCACACGCTCTGGTTGATGGCTGAGGAGATGCTTGGGATTCCTCTCCCCCTCCCTATGACCTTGGACCTCCATGCCACGATCCTCCTCATGTCTTCTATCACACCACCCCAGGGATGGTGGAGTTCAGCTTCTGCCTGGGGTCCTGTTCTGAGCAGGCAGGTGCGCACACAGGAACGTAGGGATCGAACAGACTTTTTTGGGAGAACACAGTGCAGGTGGCAGTTGGTGGGACATGGAGACATGTATTCCCATGCAGTCCTGCTCAGCCCCAGAGTCCCACTTAACATGCCTGGGGGGGCTTCTCGGTAGTCACAAGTCCAAAGGAGTGAACCAACGTTAGTCTGAGGGTCAGGATGTTGTAGCGAGATATCAGCTGGTCTGGGTCACAGAAGAGAAGAGTTTCCACAAGCAGATGTTCAGGGCATGAATGGACAGGGCTTTGGGTAAGCGGAGCAGATGTTCCAAACAGAGAACTGCTGGGCATCAATGGCTCTGAAATGCAGCCGACAGTCAAGGGTGGGAACAGCCTTGCTGTGCGAGGGGTCTTGCAGATCTCCTCTGTCCTGCTCTGTGCTCAACCCTACATGCTCTAGGAGGAGGTCCGGGATCCAGCCCCACTTCTGCAGCCTCCAGCTGACTGGAATGCACCTCAGCCTAATTGCTAGGCTCCTCTGAGGCTGGTTTTCATCCAATCTTGAGTTGGCCATCATACCTGCTGTGTTGGGAACCCTCAACCTTTTGTATCTTAAGCCCCACTAATCACTCTGTCCAAGAAATGATGGTCAGAAAAGTCAACATGGCAGATAACGATGTGATTGAAGTTCCACCTGTTATTTATGAGCTTCCTTCATACCATCATGGCAGTGATGTTGACTTTTTGACCATACCCTGCAGATACTCCTAGCCCTGCCAAAGTAGAAACTAAAAGCCCAGGAAGAATATTACTACCTTTGCATCTTTAATGACTTTGTATGGATAACAGGTTTTTCATGAAAAGGATTTTCATGAATTTGTTCTTTGAATTTTGATGTGAATGATCTTGGAAGAGATCCACTATCTCTTCAACCTTCCCCTAAGTTTTGATATAGTCCTGAATGAATACTGTTGTCATAAGCTTAGAAATGTATGTCCAAGGAGACTATATATTTAAGTGCACATAAACATTAAGTTAATGTTAATGTTTTTTTTAGAAAAGCAGATTGACATGATATGTACCTCTATAACTGTATGGTTTTTAATTTTTTTCCCTTCATAAAATGTCCATGCAACATAGCTTCCTGATTCCTACAGCTGACCCTAGGAATTCTGGCATTCTGTGACCTCTTCCCTAAGAATCAGTATTTGGTGCTACTTCCTTCATAAGTTATGAAGCCTTTACAATTCCATCAATTAAATCTTTACCAGTTCTTACAGTAAGTTGTTGGAAACTGCGTTGTCCAAGATAGAGCTCTCTTCCTACACTTTCTTCAAACTGAGTCTGTTCTTTGGCATTCTTTATGTTTATTTCTTGTCAGCTTTACCATGTCGTTAATTTTTCTTCTTGGGTATAAAGCTCTCAGAACGTTGATTGCAGAGTTAGCATTATAATTTTTTCTCCTGTATCAGGCACCCTGGTCCTAATGAATCTTCTTCCCTCTGCTGTTTCGGCCAAGTAATTACATCTGCTTGATGTTATATCTGAGTCAGTGTTAAGATCACGTTCTCCATTGAGAATGATTCTTCTACAGACTTCATGCTCTACAAATGTTTTCAAATACAACTCCTAGCATGTGGTAGCAAACCAAATAGCAGTCCTTGTTTAGCAACTGCCTTGTTTAGTGACTGTTTACAGTTATGACGGTGATGAAAAAGTAACTTTGCAACCAATCCTCGCATTTATGACCTTTGCAGGTCTGTAAAGCAAGGGAAAGCTGAAGTCAGATCATATGCACAGTTGCAGTTTCACTTAACGACCAAGTGCCAGTCCCATTTGTTGCTAAATGAGGACTACCTGTAGCACAGTTGTCTACTGACTTTCAGGAAGAAAAATTAATATGGCTTATGACCATATTATATATAATATGACCTTTACTTCATTTTTAAAACAACAACAAAGAGTCAAACTGAAAGGGCAGAAAATCTCTTTGGGTGACTTCAGTTCTGAAAGGGAATGGGTTTAAACAAACAGCTGTTTTGGGGAAGGGGGAGGATATGATGGAAGAAAGATGAAAGACAGAATAAAAAAAGGCTGTTGAGTATGAACACTGTCCTCACATTGGACTGTTATTTCACAGTATAAGTCCTGATCTTTATTTAATTCAAGATATTCATTAGGCTTTAAACCTAATGAATAGCAGTGTGACCTGCTCAGACCTGTCTCATTATAAAATAATCCTCATAACGATCCAGCCTATTTTGCCCTTCCTATAGTTATAGGTGCTTATAAAAACTTTATCATGAGATTTTATTTCATTTCTCAGATGGATCCACCAAAACGGATGGGAAGATAAATTTGTTAAAGGGCTGGAAGAACCTTGGTTGGGTTCCTTTTTCTGCAACAGACTAACGTGGCTACTTTCTTTGGGACATTTTTCAATAGGCTGAACACTCCAGTGAATATTTAAACCCACACCAGGCTGAAAAATGTACCTCCTGTTGCCCTTGGCTAACAAATGTTTATTTTTAAAAAAGGGTGGACTTGCCTACCTGGAGATGCCACGAAGAGAATCTGGCTTGTCAGTTGTATCTTGTGATGCTGAATTACGAGGCTGCCCTCCCTTTTGATCTCTTTTCCAGTTCAAGTGTTGGATTAATGCTAAAATCCAAAATAGGATCTGGTGGGGTCAAAAGCTCAAGCAGAAAACAACGATCAGCTTGGAAAAGAGAGATCTGGGACAAACTTACTAGGGAGATACAGCAGATGGTTGAGTCCTAGGATGGAAGGTTGGGACTCAATCTGGATGTCCTCCGGGTCTTCAGACACTGGCCCCACCTTCTGCTTTGGGCCTGAGGTTTCCCATTGCTACCATCTGTCTTCCAGGAGGTGCCTCACTTGGCATTTACCTCTTAATCTGGTCTGTATGTGTGCGTGAGAGAGAGGGGGGTTGTCACAACCTGTGTCGCCTTCTTGGCAAAAAGATAAATATGCAAAAAGCAAAAAAAATGTCAATAGTGTAATCTCCCCGTCTTGTACCATAGAGGTATGTGGCTAAAGGATTTATCTCTTCTTGGGGAGACAAATCAATCTCATAAGACAGAAACAAAAGCAAACTTTAGTGGAAAAGAAAAGAGAAAATTTTAAAGCCCATTTTCAACTGTATTACAATACAAACATTTGGTGAAGGACAAAGATTTGCAAAGTTGTTCAGATGATGGGAAAACAGCAACTTAGAAGGAAAATTGCAAAAGAAAATGCAGTACTTTGAGCAGCCAATAAGATGCTCATGCTTTGTCACAAAGTTACTATAGAAAATGCTGGTTAGATGTTTCAAATTACTATCACAGATTGTAAGAAAGTTCTAGAGAAAATTAATACCTTTACCTGCAGTATGAATAAAAGGTTGAGGTTCCTCACCCAATAATTTGTACAGAGAAATAAGAGCATTATACAATGAAACTTCAGTACAAGCACAGGAATAAATCAATTAAACCTAGTATGATTTCTAGCTGGAAAGTTTTTACCTGTTTCCTTAGAGATAGCAATATCTCAAGCATCTGTTCTCTGCTTCAGTTTCCCTCGACTTGTCCAGCTGTGTTTCCCCCCGCCTTGGCTCACTGCTTCTCCCTGAGTCCTTTCTCTACTTTTAATAGACACAAACTTTTAAAAATTTCCAGGAGAGGGAAGATCACTGACTCGCTGTGTAGGTGACAAAGAGCATCTCTTCCTTGCAGACGGAGATTACATGACTGAGTTTTCAGTTTGGCATGTAATCTAGATTCACGGAAGGAGGTCACAGAATAGGTCCAGCCGTAGTGTGAGAAAATGATTGTCCGTAGGAATCTGCTCACGTGTCTCTCTGTGTTTCCTGTGCAGGTAATCAGGAAGGCCAATGAAATCCTTGCAGGCATCAGTCACCCATCCGTCTGTAGAGAGGTGTTGCTTTCTGCACCCGGAACAGCCTACATTTGGGGTACACCAGATACGCCTTTCTTTTCTTAGATCTCCTGAAGGCAACGGGTGCTCATTCCAACTTTTGGGGATTGTGCCGATAACCTGCAAATGTGAATATTCTAACTATACTCTAGACAAGAATCTTGGTTCAAAGATAAGGGTGTGTAGACAATTCCCTGCAGAAGGGTTTGCAAGAGTGACAGGGCTGGCTGAAACTGTCCTATCATGTTCAATCGGAAAAGGCAGCTTCTTGTGTCAACGCAACTATGTTCTATCAGACTTATTCTACTCTGTGTGAATACTAGCCTTTCTCCAATTTGTTGTCCTCTGAGTTTGGGTCTTTGCTTTGGGAAGTATAGCAGCTGGGGAGGGCAAACGGCATATCCCTCCCCCCAAAAGACATGGTTGTTTTAAAGAGTTGCAGACAGGTTTACCTTTCAATGTACTTCAGAAGAGACTTGTTTGGAAGAGAATTCATAGCGCTACGCACCCCTAGTCCTGCTTTTAATCATTTCCCCTTCTGCCTCATTATCTAGGCAGTGTCTGGGAGGGTCAACCCCAAGATTCTTGGGTTCTTAGTACATTAGGCTCCTTAAACTGGCAATTAAATCAACACCACCACCCTGCTCGGGGCAGGAATCCAAATTAAAGTGTTTGCAACCACTTGTATTCACCCTGCAGTTTTCTTGGCAAGATTTTTGGAAGTTCTGGGTTTGCCTTCTTCTTCCTAGGGCTGAAAGAGAGATTGATGGGCCCAAGGTCACCCGACTGGCTTTGTACCTAAAGCAGGATGAGAACTCACCACCTCCTGGTTTCTAGCCTGGTGCTTTAACCACTACACCAAACTGCCTCTCTATCCTTCAGAGTCACCTGTAAATAATTCCCCTCATTGTTTGTTCTCACATGCAGGGCTGTCAGAGATATATCAGATCTCCAGGCGCTTGGGAGAGGCCATGAATGCTCGGAAATTAGCAAGCGAGTTGGTATTGCAAACGTTGCACGAGGTGGACTTAGCTTGGAATAATCTCCTGTCCTTTCTCGCGTTTGGTCGCTCTGCGTTTCAAGCGTTGGTAAGGAATTCCAGTCTGTGTGCAAAAGCTCAGTGGACTTTAAGGGGAAAATGGGGGTGTGGGGAGGGAGGATAAAAATAGGGCATGGGGAAACAATATTTCTGCAGTAATTTATTTATACAAATATTTATATACTGCTCTATTACAGGAGACTCAAGATGGTTTACAGCAATGCTTCTCAACCTTGGCAACTTTAAGATATGTGTACTTCAACTCCCAGAATTCCCCTGGCTGGGGAACATATCTTAAAGTTTGCCAAGGTTGAGAAACACTGGTTTACAGTACAACATATGAGATTAAAAACAAGTACTGTATAGTAAAAATTATTGACAAAACTGAAAACCACAGAAATCAAACTTCCAAGGCAGTCTGGGCAGGGATTCCAAGGCTATGGTCAAAAAAGTCAAGATGGTGACCATGATGATGCAGTTGAAGCTCCATCGGTTGTTTTACACGCACCACACAATGAACATACAAAACAAGTGGAGATTCTTCAGCTCCGCCATTACAACCATCATCCTGAGTTTTTTTTTACCATACTCGGTTGATGCTCCTGAGTTTGGGTCCACCATCCACACCAAATGCTGGTTGGAATAAGATTATCCATTTTGCAAAAAGCAAGCAAAGTGGGGAATTTCCTGTCCTGGGGGACAAGGTGTAGGGTGGCCCCTCTTTTCACCTTTCGAGATGGGCCCTTCAGCATCTTGAGATGAACAACCAAGATGGTTAAGTCTGGGCAAGAGATGATTCTGTAAGTGCTTAGAGCAGTGTTTCTCAACCTTGGAGGCTTTAAGATGTGTGGACTTCAACTCCCAGAATTCTGGGGGTTGAAGTCCACACATCTTAAAGTTGCCAAGGTTGAGAAACCCTGGCTTAGACGCTGAGCCATGAAGTGCTTCATGGGTTAAAACCAGCATCTTGAATTCTGTGCAGAAGTCTGTTTGCAGTCAGTGCAGCAGGCCTCCTCCTCCTTCCTGTTAATGGCAGATTCCACCAATTGCAGCTTCTGAATCATCTTCAAGAGCCGCCCTATCTAAAGCATGATGAAGTAGTCTAAGCATGAAGTAATGAGGGTGTGAATTATGACTGAAAGGGCTTCCCAGTCCAGAAAGGCTTGCAACGGGTGTGCCAGCCAAAGCTGGACATAGGTCTCCCAGGCACTGGCCTCCACCCGCTTGATCCAGCAGGAGCCTCAAGTCCATGAAGACCCCACCATAGATCTGTTCTTCTAGAAGGTAGATGAGGCTCAGAGGCATTTTTGAAAACTCTGTTGGGATTGGAAGTTGATATTTTTCCAAGACACTACTCAGGCAGAACAACTTTAGGTCAATTCCGAAGATGGGTTTACCTAGCTCATTCTGCTAGGCAGGGACTCTCTAGAGCAGTTTTTCTCAACCCTAT